CCCAGCACATAAATGGCGGAGAATATTCAGCAATATGACCCTCTTAGGGAAAGAGCCCGGAAAAGAAAATGTTGAGAAATTTTGCCTCAGCTCTATACTCACTATTGCTTCACACAACACAGACACAGAGTCACACACACTGTTCTTTCCCAGAGGAAAGTCTAGCATTTCATTCTCTGCCTGTATTCTTTTAATGCATGCCCACGTAGTGTTTCACAGAAACGACCATTGAGTAGTTGGGTTTTTCTTTTGTTTTAAATCAGCAAGTAAGGGAACTGGAACAGGGTAAGACAACTTGGTATGTTAAGTAGCTCCACTCCCCAAATAAGCAGTCCTAAACCAAAACTGGAACTGCTTCATGGTGCAATGAGGGGGATAGCTTATCAGTCTAGTGAAGCAACCAAGCCGCACTAGAGACCTTTTAACGTCTACTCACAACTCCCCATCTCAGACAGCAGCGAACCTTCTGCAGCTGCAGGTGACCTGACTGTGTTGTTAAGGAACTTTAACTAGACTGATTTGGACAGTATGACTCACATGTGCTGTGTTTTCCCTCGTCGTCTTTGTCTGCCTTCTATAGGGCACTTTCATTTAGTGCTGTCACTGCAATGCTGTCAAAGCTCAGACTCAAGTAGCCGGCGTGAAATGCAGAATAATTACTGTAACTTAATTTGTGATTGATATCCTCATGTATCTTGCAAATCTCAGCATATGCATCCTACTTCCATTTCTGTTCAAGCCTCAGAACTGATTTTTTTTGTTTTGTTTTCGTCAGCCCCATCCCTACCATTTCCTCTTTATGGATGCAAATCCCACCAACTGGGCTTTCTTAGAAGCATTGAATGCATTTTCCTTGCAGCTTGGGGCAAAGGGGTTCTGAAGGGCAGATAGGGCTCTGAGGCTTGGAAAAATCAAGCCATTTGTACCCACTCATTTTTGCAGGTTGCAGGTGTCCTCATTCAGTGTTTGCCAGGCCCCCAAGCTATACAGGAAAGCATGGTGTATCCTATTGATCATCCTGTTTACATGAGGTTAGGTGGTATTGCCCCCCATTGGAATGGCGCCTCCCACAGGATTAAACAGGCAAAGCATAGAACCTCTTGCTCAGCTTATGAGTCGATAGGTCAAGCTCCTGCAGTTAGAACTTTTTCTAACCAAGTTAGAACTTTTTAAAACCTATTTTTTCACCTTTAGCCCCCCCCTACTTTCAGTTCTTTTCTCCTCTCCTCCACAATCACCAATTTATTTATTTTTTAAAAAAAATGTGTGGGGGGGAGCCAGTGTGGTGTAGTGGTTAAGAGCAGTAGTCTCGTAATCTGGGGAACCGGGTTCACGTCCCCGCTCTTCCACATGCAGCTGCTGGGTGACCTTGGGCCAGTCACACTTCTCTGAAGTCTCTCAGCCCCACTCACCTCACAGAGTGTTTGTTGTGGGGGAGGAAGGGAAAGGAGATTGTTAGCTGCTTTGAGACTCCTTAGGGTAGTGATTAAGTGGGATATCGAATCCAAACCCTCCTCCTCCTCCTCTTCTTCTTCTTCTTCTTTTGGGTACCTTTAGCTGGGTGTGATGATGACACCGCAGCCTGGTTCCTGCCAAAAAGCCTAGGGCAGAGGAGCCTAGATAGAGGAGTTCAGGGGCCCCACTCCAATGGCCGGTGGCGAAGGAAAACAAGCTGCTTCACGCCACCTTTGGAGGCTTATGGCCTTGGCTGACCCGTTCCCTGCCTTTCAGGGGGGCATTTCTCCTCAGAAGTTGCCACACTGGACACAGCAGGGGGGAGAGGAGCAGCTGCCCTGCATGCAGTGGCGAGGGCAGGCCACAGAGCTTTGGCCCCAGTCGCCAGCCAGCGCAGCTTATTCCACCTCCCCAGGCCACCAAGCAGCACCTCATTCATCCCCAAATCAATGTGGCTGCATCATTTCTAGAAAATTCGCACGGCCCATGTTTCTCTCTCGTTCCTTTCTCATGTGCATTAGCAAAAGAAGTTTCTTCTTTTCACTGTTCTGAGAGCAACTTATGAAACAGCTCAGTGCCCTGCCAAACATTACCTCCTAGCTGCTGGATTGCGTTGCCTTTCGTTTCTGCAGAGATTGTAAGCTCTTTGGAGCAGGGATCTCACGTTGGTGTCTTTTACACTGTAGGTTCAGCATATAAATGTTTTACAGTTTTATGTGCTATAAGCCACCCAGAGTGGCTGGGGAAAACCAACCAGATGGGTGGGGTTTTAATTCAACAATAATAATAATAATAATAATAATAATAATAATAATAATAATAAAATAATAATAAATGGTGAGGTTTGCTGCTAGAGCACCTAGTGATTCCTCTGCATAGCGACAGCGACAGCGACAGCTGAGCGGGAGGTTTTAGTCTGCACACACTGTCTCTTTAACGCTGGCCATGATGATGACTGTTTGGATGAAACAACAACTGTGACCTTATTTAAAGTGCTTGCCTGAAGGAGTGTCAAACAGGATGGAGGGACAGGAGGAGAACAGAGTCTCTCCTTTGAAATTAACGAGCTAATGTCCTTGGATGAATAGACATATCTACTCAGCAAGGAAAAGAGGGATGGAGGGTAAATCTCCTTGCATCTCCCTCTCTCCCTCTCTCTTGCTTATCTCTTTTAATGCACTTAAGTCCTTTTGTGTTTCTCTAATCTGATTGAGGGTGCCTAATACCTTTGCAACCTGTGCAGCCACCTTCCTAGCCAAGCACCGAGGACAACACGCTGATATGTGCATGATTCTGCTTGGTAAAAATAGCATAACTCCCTCCACTGGTTCCTCACCTTTTCCCTTTTGCTATATCTAAATGCCCTGTTACTACACACTTGGGACTTGCAGTGGAAATTAGTTTCACTGGCGTTCCAGTGCACGCCAGTGTACATCTCGCCCTACAGGCATTCCCACCTCACTCGTCCAGTGAAGATGTGGGGAGAAGCAGGGCCACACGTATAGGCCATGCCCCCCAATGCCAGAGCATCAGCTGGCCATGCCCCTAGCACTGAAGGCTCAATATTAGTGCAAAAGGGTGCAAAGTGAATAAGGCCCATTTCACACCAATGCCAACCACATGACAGTGGTGGGCATGGCCACCGGACGCAGTCCCACTTTAACCCCTACCCACATATTTGTAAACCACTGTGAGGTTGTTTTCTTTTATAATCAAATGGTATATAAATGTTAGGGAATAAATAACATAGATTCAGTGGGTGCAAAGGGAGAGTGAATGTCTGCACACTTCTTTGAGCCTGACCAGGGTGTGAGAGCCCTAAGGGTTTTTACAATGAATTTATTCATTTATTTCCCAAATTTTAAATACCACTAGAGTGTAAACACAAACACACACCTCAAAACAGTTTAGTTTGTGCAAATGAGCATCCAATTCATTGTGCTGGTAAAGTTGCGGATAAGTGGTGTTCATATGCATAAACAACACCAACAACACTTTGCTGTAACCCATTAGCTCATTTGATCTTGGCTGAGATCTTAAGTGCATGATTTGGGAGAATATTCTTGGAGAGTGCAGTTATTTCAAAGGTACTAATGATGACAAGCAGCCTGTATAGTGTTGGGTTATTCAATGCTAGTCAGGTTGGTTTCCTGGGAACTGGGTCTTGCCTGTCATTCTATTTGCTTGGATATTATTTCACAAACACTATAGAAACATTTCTACCTCACTGGGTTGAGATGCTAATGGGAGGGTGAAAAGGGAAGAAGCTCTGATGTTTAAAAGTGCATTGTTTGTTTTTGTCCCTTTTTTATCAGTTGGGTGGGGCAGAAGGGATATCTGTGTATATTTTATGAAAGATATTTCACAGAGCAATTCAAATTCCTGGTGGGTGGCAGCAGGATTTAACAGAGTAGTGGAGCAACTGCTGCGTCTGGAGTCCCACCGGTTGCACTGGAAAATAACGTCTCCTCCTGCCCCCACATGCCATTTCCAGGTTGGTGCAGCCGACAGACTCACATCAGGCCAATTGCTTGTGGCTACAGATGAGGGAGAAATTAGATTTTGTTAAAGCAAACCCACCTAACCTAATTTGTACTTACCGAAACAATACGCAAACCGAAACACAGCCATCCTTCAAAATCCATACTTCTCTGAATTTTCAACATCGTTCCCCAGCCATGTAATTGTATAAAAATGCACATAGCAGGATAAAGGGTGTCTAAAAATGCACCTGTTTAGTGAAGATAGCATACAAAAATGCATTATATTGGGGGGGGGAGTGATTTGCAGGAATGTGTATATTAGGTAAAATTGCATACAGAAAGATGTGAATTGGGAGAAACTTGTGTTAGAATGCTGATGAATTTTCATGAGGATTTTTTTAAAAAAACAAACCCCTGATGTGGAAATGTGGAAAACTGAACTTAAGAATGGGGAAACTGAAAAACTGAGTCAAACCAAAACTGACAGATCCACCCATTCCTGGTGTGAATGCAGAAACTGAGTAAATGAAAAGTTTCATTCTAAGGGCCCCTGCTGACATCCTCTTTATTAAGCACCCATCATGATTTGCATACGTGATATTATTGGGTGGTTATCTGCGATTATGCTTTCAACATCATCTGCCCACCTGTGGTTTAGGTGGGCGCACTTAGGAGCTCTATGTTGATGGGACTCCCCCTCCCCACTAGCAGAGCTTGGCACGGCCAGACAGAACTGGGTGAATGGACACCTCAAGTTGTATCCTATCTGCACCACTTCTAGTGTGGCAGATTGAGGGATTGTTCCATCAGTCAATTTCTCTTATCAGTTTTTCTCTTCATTGGCAGTGCAATCCTAAACGCACCTACTCAGAAGTAAATCCCATTGGGCTCAGTGAGGCTTACTCCCTAGAATGCGTAGTTAGAACTGCAGCCCACATACATAGGAATCAACAGGAATGCATGTGCATACAAATATACCTGTTAAGAATAAGGGAAACATGTCTGATTCCTCTTTAAAAAAAAAAAAAAGGCCTTAAGATTTCCTTCCTCTTTTGCCTACAGGGGTCCGTCTGGATCGAGTTCGCGGAGGCCGTCAAAAGTACAAAAGGAGATTGGATTCCGAGAGCAGCACTTATTTGAGCTTACAGATTCCTCCTCCAGCCAAAAAGCCATGTAAGTGCCGGTATCACACTCTGTTGCCTGGGGCAAGCCCTCCATTTCCTTTCCCCGAACACAGTGCTGTGGATTGTGCTATTGTGCTGCTCTCCCTGAGTGTTCTTCATAGGAAACCAGTTCCCAGCTGTCTTAATTAGGGAGCCGCATGAGTTAGTGTCCTCTGAGACTTTTCTGAAACTGAAACCGAGGGCAATTGTTCAGATACGTGGTCTAAGGGAGCACCTGGCCTTTCCCTAAATCTACAAGAGATCAGCTTGCAGGTGAAGATGGTGGCCTACCCATCTCGCCATGATGATTCTCCAGCTTTGCATGATCCTGCTAGCTGCCTGGCAACCTGTTCATCATAGATCTCTATGCTCCATGCATTGTAGAATCTATTACTGGGGCATTTGACACATGGTCCAGCGCCGAGGGCCTTCTGGCGGTTCCCTCACTGCGAGAAGCCAAGTTACAGGGAACCAGGCAGAGGGCCTTCTCGGTAGTGGCACCTGCCCTGTGGAACACCCTCCCACCAGATGTCAAAGAGAACAACATCTACCAGACTTTTAGAAGACATCTGAAGGCAGCCCTGTTTAGGGAAGCTTTTAATGATGCATTACTGTACAGTGGTGCCTCGCAAGACGAAATTAATCCGTTCCGCGAGTCTCTTCGTCTTGCGGTTTTTTCGTCTTGCGAAGCATGGCTATTAGCGGCTTAGCGGCTTAGTGGGTATTAACAGCTTAGCGGTTTAGCGGCTATTAACGGCTTAGCGGCTCAGCGGCTATTAACGGCTTAGCGGCTTAAAGAAAAAGGAAACAAACTCGCAAGAACTCACAAGACGTTTCGTCTTGCGAAGCAAGCCCATAGGGAAATTCGTCTTCCGGAACGACTCAAAAAGCGGAAAACCCTTTCATCTAGCGAGTTTTTCGTCTTGCGAGGCATTCGTCTTGCGGGGCACCACTGTATTTTAATATTTTGTTGGAAGCCAGAGTGGCTCGGGAAGCCCAACCAGATGGGCGGGGTATAAATTGTTGTTGTTGTTGTTGTTGTTGTTATTATTATTATTATTATTCAGAGGAAATCCTGAGCTTGCCACTGAGTCTGAACTCAGTGGGGGAGATTTAGCCTATCAGATTCCCTAGTGCCTATACCTGTATGATACCTGTGCTTTTTGCTTTGATACCTTATACTTAAGACATCTTTGGTGCACACCTAAGCAAAAACGGTAAAGGCTCTTAGTTCTCTGGAAGGTCTTGTTTCATTGCTCATAGATCTTATTCTAATGTGTGCCCAGCTACTAGCACTTTGGTTTGAGGTGGAGAAACTATCCCTGGAAAAGATATATCATCCTTCCCACCAAGAGTACCTTCTGTCAGAGTTCAGCCAAGCCACACAGACTGCACCATCTGTGCTGGACCTGCAGCACCAGTGATCAGCTGCATGTTCTAGAGCAGGGGTAGGTGGCCCAATCGCCTTCTAAATCTGGCCCATGGATGGTCTGGGAATCAGCGTGTTTTTACATGAGTAGAATGTGTCCTTTTATTTAAAATGCATCTCTGGGTTATTTGTGGGGCCTGCCTGGTGTTTTTACATGAGTAGAATGTGTCCTTTTATTTAAAATGCATCTCTGGGTTATTTCATCATCATCAAACCTTTTATTGGCATCACATACAAACATCCATAGCAAATCAATACAGAATTCCCGCCTTCCCAGTGACACAAAACATTTGTCTCTGGGTTATTTGTGGGGCATAGGAATTCATTCATATTTTTTCCCCAAAATATAGTCCGGCCCACCACATGGTCTGAGGGATGGTGGACCGGCCCACAGCTGAAAAAGGTTGCTGACCCCTGTTCTAGAGAGTGGTCAGAACAGGATGAGGTCCCCTCCATTAATGTACCAGTGGACTCAAACACCCTAAGAGCCATTTCACTTTCCAAAAATCTGTATTTTACAATAGAAAGTTGGGAAAATATTTGAAGCAGACATGAGAAATAGACTGTAGTTTATTTTAATTTCCAGAGGGGTGCTTCCTTAAGCCGTTTCCCCTGCATTTCCCCCCATGTCAGAAGATTCCCCATTTATTCCAGCCAGAATGTCCATATGTGAGCTTCCTATCAGTATTAATTAGCCAGAATACATGGTAAAACAATTATCAGTTGAAATATGCAGAGTGTTCAGAATGGAAACTTCTATCTTGCCAAAGGATGCTTAGGTATATCAGTAATTAACACATGTAAATATCTATGATAGGATCAGGGACCGATCATAGCTCAGTGGTTGAGCACATGCCTTGCATGCAAAAGGTTGCAGGTTCAATCCCTGGGGCCTCCAGTTTAAAAAGGAGCAGGTAGCATGTGATGAGAAAGACCTCCTCCATGGTCTCTGGAGAGCTGTTCACAACTCCGAGAAGGCAATACTGTGCTAGAGGAACAAACAGTATGATCAGGCAGGAGCCAGCTTCCTACATACCTGGCATTCCCAAGCAAAAATAATTTCACCTTTATTTCAGACAGTGGAGTTTTAAGCTACTTGCGTAGGTTCGTCAGATGCACATACTGATTTCTGCTTTGGAATTTGCAGTGACCAAGATCGTCTCCCACTTGTTGGTGGCAGAGCCGGAAAAGATTTATGCTATGCCTGACCCTACCATGCCGGAGAGCGACATCAAAGCTCTGACCACGCTCTGTGATTTGGCAGACAGAGAGCTGGTTGTGATCATTGGCTGGGCAAAGCACATCCCAGGTAAGAAGCTAAGGGTGGGTAGCAAAAAACGGTTGTAGTGACTTACCATCATGGGCACTAGTTTATCATTTTCAACAGGGAAGCTGCCATTGCCTGATGAGGAGCTCTGAAATTTTGTGTGTAAAAAACCCCCCAAGATTTTGCAGCTTCAGTCCCCACATTTTGCAAATGGAATAAAAATGCAATGGGAATCTTTAACCTGTGAGCAGCCTTGGAGGGATCTACCTCTCTTGTTGCACATTACGAGAAGCAACTAATTGAAGTGGGAATAGTACACACACACACACACACACTGCTCTTTTAACCATGCGAAGCAGCCTCAAGGAGAACCCGAGTTCAATAGAAAATAGAGGTTATGAGAGGACTCCTAGTTTACAACAGACTCCTCGCTTTCAATCAGAATTCCAATGCAGTTATTGATTTATTGGTGTAAATTAATGTATCTTTAGATGCTTGCGATTATCTTATAGCTTTAGCTTTGAACTGAGAAAACTCCAGCTGATGGGTACTTGGGAAAGGAGGTCAGTCTTTGGATACTGCTTCTCAGCAAATCTTAATCCCAGTGGTGCCCTTCTTGAAGGAGGCCTGTCATAACAGGGATTACCCCACTCACTGGCTGCGCAATCTGCCAGGGCCTGATTCAGCACAAATGGTGTAATGCTGCTGATTAAGGAAACTCTGTCTGGATTGCTCCACTAACCCAGCAGCTGGGAAGAATTAACAGGAAGGATAATAACGAACTACACCAGACGGCAACTTATTAATACTCAGGCCACCATCTCCATATTGATGAGGCCCCTTCCTGCAAGAACATTTGTGAGGTCGGTGTACTTTCCCATTTTAAGTGCACAATCCAAACAGTTGTTGACTAGGTAGAGCTGTTGTTGTGGAGATACCACATTTTCCAAGCAGGTTAGATATCATCACACTTTCTGTCTGTCTAGAAAGATGTGGAGCATTTCCCCCCCAGTAGTACATTTGTTACTTGCCTGATTACAGTGCAAATTGTGGTTGCATCTCACTGGAGAGCACTTGATCACATCCTGTCCCATTGCTTCTAAAAGCAAAGTGTGCCTGTTTACCATTTTGTGAAATCCTTTCCCATTGTTTTGAAATTTTGCAATGGAAAAGTCCACAAAGTTGCTCCTCACAGACAAACCCAAAGCTAATTCAAATGGGGTGTGTGAATTAATAGCTAAATTAATGTCCAGGCCCAGAGTAAGTTGACAGCATAATAGAAAAGGAAGAAGGATCCAAGGGTAACAATATAGTTAGGTCCTAAGTTTCTGAATATTAAGGCGACATGTTGATTTTGTCCAGTGAAATCTCTGAAAGCTGTATGTGTGTACATGTGCACAACTTTCAGGTTTGTATTAATTCCTAAATTTGCCTCAGACGAACAACTGTGTAAGGACCCTCTCAGTGGTGTTAGCACATGGGTTCAATTAAGCTTGAAGCCACTCTTCAGCAGTTGGGGGGGGATACATTTTAATAGAGTTCAGCAAATATTATTACCTCTCTACCAAGGCTGTCTTCCCCTCTGGACAGGACTCCCCTTTCTTCATGCTTCACACCCAGCCCCTGCATTAATCACCTGTACCTTGGTTCCCCATCACTGTGTCTCCCTGCAGGAAGAGGAGACTTCTGTGGAGGGGTGATGACAGGGGCTCTTTGGGTGACTGTTTTGCTGCTGCTCTTGCTGGGAAGACGAGAGCTTCGCACAGGATGAAATATGGCTAGTGGAGTGACAGCAGCTGTGTCTAGAGTGGCCTCAGATCCTATAATTACATCTCTCTTTATTACAGCTGCTAATGGCCCTCCATGATGACAGAGATGATAATAAATTAACAGATTATGAACTCCACTTGCCACAAATTATGTGTTTTCTCTCTCTCTTCTCTCCCCCCCCCTCTAAAGATTCTGGTAGCTCCTGCTGCCAAATGTCTAAAAAAGAATAGGTTTCTACACCCATGGGTACAAATACTACAGGTTTCAGAGGGAATCTGTGAAGTTCAGTTGGGATACTGCCAAGAGGAGCTTATGCATGCTTCTCTGTAAGAAAGGATGAGGTAATGTGCTTTATTTGTAGCAATGTGAGGCATGCAACAATTTTCTAATACATGGATGAGGAGGAACCTGTGGCCTCCAGCCAAGATGGCCAATGGTGAAGACTGACTGATAGGGGTTGTAGTCCAGCAACATCTGGAGAACTTCAGATTCCCCACCCTTGTTCTCACAGGACAGATTCCATGTTTCTGGAATGTGTGCCTGATGGAGCTGGAAAGTTAGCCACTCCAACCATCGTTTGGATCAGTTTTCAGATGCCTCCAAACAGGGCATGATAGAGATACTGGCCATCTCCATTTTAGTTTAGAGCCATAGATTTATAGGTCTATATATTCTGGTGTGTTTATTTTTATTTATTTTTTAAGAAAGATGCATAAGCTGGTGGCCATCACCATAAGATGGTTATGCATGCATTTTTTAAAAAATGACCCGAGCCTAGAGCTAATCATTTTCACTGGGTGACCTGGGATATGTCCCCTTTGACATCTTTTTCTAAACACAACAGATCATCCAAATATTCCTTTCTTATAGGGAGAATGCTCTAACCCTCTGGCCATTTTAGCTGCCTTATTCTATCCCTCTTCCAACTCTATGGTGTCTTTTTGAAAAGGGGCAACCAATCTGCATGCAGTATTGTAAGCCCATTTACACCACAGATTTATATAATAGCAATATTGTAGCAATCATTTTATTTTCAGCTCCTTTAATTCTCATCTACTCATTCTTCCTAACACAGGATTTGCTCCTTTTACTCCCACAGTACACTGATTTGACCATTTTTTTCAGCGAGCTTTCTACTACTAGTCCAAGATCTTTTCCCTGAGTGGTACAGCTCCTTCACAAGTAGTTATTCTGTTGGCATTCTTACAGTTTGTTGTGGTTTAAACCATCTTGAATAACTGGTGTCAACCACAGACTTAGGTTTATCTTGATCCCAGATAATTTATTACTAACTTAAAAGCACTGGTCTCAAATAGTGCTGAGCCAGAATTGAAACCCCATGAATTCATAGCCCTCTTTGTGGTCTATTAAAGAACCCACCCTGTTGGTGTTTATGAGGGAAAGAGCTGTGAACCTATCAGCGAGCCTCAGTCAACACGTGGGTCTGATGGGCATTGTGGTCCAAAACACCTTCAGGACACCAGATTGGGGGACGCTGATCTCAGCACTTCAGTGCTTTCATTGTTTGCTCACAGTCTGGTATCCGCAGCGGACATAGCATTTTCTTGCACAGCATGTGATCTGCTCTCAGAGGCATTAGGAATCCCACTGTTTACTTCCCTCTGTTGTAAAAGAGAAGATTTTGATGCCAGCCCCCTTTAGAACACCTTGCATTAGCCAGTTGGATATCAAGGAGATGCAGCATGAATGACAGCTATCAGGTCTGAATCGGACAAAGAGGATTTCACCATCCTCTCTGGACAGAGTTGGTGAGAAAGTGCTCTTGCTTTGTCCTGGAGTCGCAGCTAAAGTGTGGAGCACAATGCTCAGGATGTGAACTTGGAGTGGCAGGGTGTTCTTTGCCCATTATAGAAGTGTGTCTGCACTTGGTAGGGAACTACTATAAACAGTTCTCTGTTGCACGTACCTGTGTGAAACACATTTTCAAGTGTGTGTTTGTCACATTCACGCTGCACACTTCAGGCATACACTTAAAATCCCTAGTGCAATGAGTGAAGAGGCCCTGAGATACCAGATCAAATACCTCATGCACTGCTTGTTCCGTGTGGTTGGGATGTTTAATATCTCACACTGTTTCAAATGATGTGTGCTTGTCTGGCTCAGAAAAGACTGAACTTTTTCTATAACTGCTAAACTGGCTGGATTATTATTTCATTTTGATGATTCTCGGCTAGGGAATGGAATCCCCTTCCTCCATTAGGACACCGTCAAGCATAAATGAACTGACTGTAATAAGTCAGTGCGATGAATAGTTTACAGGTCTCCAGCAGAACTTGTGAGCATAGTTTTCTTGCTACATAAATGTGGATTAGCAACAGAAGAGCACAGCTCCCTTGCTAAAAGGGCAGCTCGTTGTTATTCAAACATATACAGGGCAAAACACTGGGTTGTGGTCAGCAAAGCACTGCAACCTAGTTGTCTAGCCTAGCTCCTTTCCATCTTCAGACTCGCCAAGAAGGGTTGGTTTTGCAGCTCATGTCCCTGATGTCCCAGCCTCCTCTTCAGCTGTCCTCTTATTTCTTCTGGTACTCCTCCCCAATGCTTTATCGATCTCTCCCTCCTACCCATCAGGCCTCACACACGCACACACAACACGTGACAGCTGATTGGTATCTGTTAATTAATGTGGCCTGCGGCCTCTTTTCTATTCAGTGGCCTGATAAGGGAAATTGGATGTCCAAGGACTGCCGTGCCATTATCACCCCTTACCTCCTCTGGCAACACAAACACAAAACATGGTGTAGTGATAAATAAATACCACTAACCCATCCCTCTGCCCTCACTTCCTTGGGCTGAGATAGCTGAGACAGAAAAATGGAACTCCCCACCAGTCAATACAGCAATCACCAGCTCTTTTGTTAATTGCCAAGTTGATAACAAGAGAAATCAAATGATCCTTGCAGTGACTGGCTCCCTTGGCCCAGATGCAGACGCACGAGTACCAGAGCAAAGGACTCTGGGAATAAAGGCATCCTGCTGAGCGTAAATCACAGCTAGAGGGACTGGAGCGTCTCTGAGTCAAAGGTTAATGAGCTTAGGAAGAACTGTGGGGCAGCAGTGAAACAGTTGCACAGAAAGAAGAAAAGGGAACCAGAATGATCTCTTACAACACTTGGCAAGAAATGTTAGGTAACTCCCTGTTTGTTACTAGGAACAGATGAATCTGTCAATGTCATGTTCTAAATTTCCCAATCTCAAATTCGGTTTGCATCAGTTTGCAAACCCTTAAAAACTGGAACACATTTTGGGGTACACTTATCCTAATATATCAGTTTTTGCAAGCAGTATATGCATTTTTGCAAGAGCCTAATATAAGGCATTGTTGTGTGTTATTTTTGCTCACATGCACAGTTTTGTTCTTGTAGTTGTTTAGTTGTTTAGTTGTTTAGTCGTTTAGTTGTTTAGTTGTTTAGTCGTTTAGTCGTGTCCGCTCTTTGTGACCCCATGGACCAGAGCACGCCAGGGACTCCTGTCTTCCACTGCCTCCCGCAATTTGGTCAGACTCATGTTTGTAGCTTCAAGAACACCGTCCAACCATCCTGTCCTCTGTCGTCCCCTTCTCCTTGTGCCCTCAATCTTTCCCAACATCAGGGTCTTTTCCAGGGAGTCTACTCTTCTCATGAGGTGGCCAAAGTATTGGAGCCTCAGCTTCACGATCTGTCCTTCCAGTGAGCACTCAGGGCTGATTTCCTTAAGAATTGATAGGTTTGATCTTCTTGCAGTCCATGGGACTCTCAAGAGTTTTGTTCTTAGTTTTCCCTAATATATGTTTGGTGAGAACTGCATCACAAAATTTGTTGAAGAGTGAGTTATAAGGATAACTGCATTTCGATTTGTGTATTGGTGTGGAAAGTATGGTGTTATCTAGGTTCACATTAAGCCAAATGAACAAAATGAATTCCTCCCCCATTCCTGGTTGTAACCAAGGTGTGAAAATAAACCACTCTTTGTGGAAGGAGCAGGCAGACTTTGGGCTAGGTTGAGTCTCCATGCTTTCTTTATATATAGGATGTGTATGTGTTGTGACAGACTAGGAAGAGTCAGGAAATACTGAGAAGAAGCTCAGTTGTCAGTAGTGTTTCTACTCTCATCCTCTCCCTCCCTCAGCAAGAACAGTTCCCCCCATTTCTTCAGGACTCTTGTGTGAGTCTGCTAATTTTGAAAGAGCATCTCAAGAGTGAAAATGGAAAATTTCATCATGCAAAAGTGAGATGTCCATGACATTCTTGTGAGTAAAGTTGCAACAGAGGGAAATTTATACCTGTGTCTCGTTTGTGAGTCAGATAGGCATATGCCAAACTACTCCCAGTGTCTTACTCATGTCTGAATCACTTGTAGGCAGACATTTGTCCTTGGCACATTAAGAAATTTGTGATCTAGGAAGTGGCCTTTTCTTACACTTGTGTTTCACACAGAAACAAAGCCTTGCTTCCTTTCCCACACTGGCTGTAATGCCTGATTTCATTTTTCCAGTGTGGACTGTATGTTGTTCATCTCCCAGATTCCTTCTGACTTTTCCAGTTTTGAGAGCAGGTGGGCAGGCTAGGTGGCTCTGCCTCCAGATGAACCATAATCTCCAGATCCCCAGTTTTCATGTTAAAAAAAAAAAAGGTAGTGAGAGAGTACATTTCTAGTACCTGTGGAATCTGAGTTATAAGTACAGGAACTATTCTTTTTATTTTTTTGTGAGAAATTAGCCAGGCCCCCATTTAGTATGTACTTTGCATCCCCTCCACCACCTAGAAAAATTCCTGCCAACACACATGATCTTACCATGTAGTTTTCAAGCACAGCATTCCTGTGTTGCTGGGATCTCAATAAATGCTACTAATTCTAATTTGTTCAGTTCTCATTTGTGGCTTTTCAGTGTCTGGTCTGTCTGGTACCCAAATTGGTGTTCATGTCAGAGTAGGTGCTGTTTGTTCCTGTGGGTCCTAAGGTAACATTAATGATCCTCTGGTTGGTGGAGGCAATGTTATAAAACTGGATTGAGTTCCATTGTTAAGAAAAATTGACTTGGATCTTAACTTTTTTTCTGTAAAGGGAATGAGCTTCTGTTTTTGGAAGGGAGTTGTACTCATGGAGGGGGTCCTTCTGTTCGCAGCCTGAATGGACTTAATGGATTGTGAATGGACTTTTGTGATTAAATGCTACAAAGCTTGTTGGTGTGATGTATAAGCAAGCCTAACATTAATAGCCAGGCACATGGCAGTATTTAATGCTATTCTATGGCAGCAAGTGTGAAAACACATCCACAGCTCTACATTTATTTGTTTAATCATACATGGAAGAGCACTTATTTTATACATGGTTTATTAGGCAGCTGTTCCACCTAAATTACATAGATCAGTCCTTTTAAATAAAACACCTGAGTCTTTACTCTTTCTTTCAATCATGTGTGCAGCTTCCAAAGCAAATGGGAAGCTTTGGAATGTGGCAAGCTGAAGGTGATTCCAAATGGGATTGTGTGAATAAAAGTATTCCATTACAAAATCCATGTGTGTCATGGAATGGTTAAAATCACCCAAACTACATAGGACAGGCATAGCCAAACTTGGTCCTCTAGATGTTTTGGGACTACAACTCCTATCATCCCTAGCTAACAGGACCAGTGGTCAGGGATGATGGGAACTGCAGTCCCAAAACATCTGGAGGGCCAAGTTTGGCCATGCCTGACATAGGAAGTGGCTTACCATGTGGAACTGCAAATGCAACTGGCTCTTAAAATGTGGCACATCTGTGAGTGAAATGATTGAATGTTTCACTTCTTCCTTTTTTAGCACTTTGTCAAAGGAGCATTTTTTTTTTTTACCTTGAACTGTGGTTAAATGTTTATGGCCAAGGGCTCCCCATGGGAATATTGAGGTTTCCATCATTGGGTGACCTAACAGAGTCCCCGCCAGATTTCTGAGCTTCAGGGCTTGGAGCAGGCAGTGCTAAAACATCGTCTCCTACCTGTGTATATAAGCTGACTTGCTCTTCTTGCCCTGCCAGGCTTTTCTAATCTTTCCCTGGGGGACCAGATGAGCCTATTGCAGAGCGCATGGATGGAGATACTCATCCTGGGTATCGTCTACCGCTCGTTACCCTATGAGGATAAATTGGTCTATGCTGAAGATTACATCATGGATGAGGAACATTCTCGCTTGACGGGCCTGCTGGAGCTCTACCTGGCCATCCTGCAGCTTGTGCGCAGGTATAAGAAGCTGAAGGTGGAGAAGGAAGAGTTTGTGACACTCAAGGCCTTGGCTCTTGCCAATTCAGGTAAGGTTACCATCTGGGATGGACATGAGAGTCTGGCCACCATCGCCCATGCAACTGAAAGGCTCACTGAAAGAAAGGGTTGGACATTGGGTTCATGAGCTTTACATGTGGTCCAAATGGGGACTTTCTAGACTACTAGAGTGAGATAACATTCCTTTATGATTCCTTTGGTTCAGTCTGACAGTGGCCAAGGTAGAAAGGATGTTCTGAGCACCTCCTTTAGTTTTTATATCCCCCTAGTTGTCAAAACAGCTTCCAGATCACTGGGTCGTAGCAATTTCATATTTAACCAGCATTGTGGTTTGCTTCACTTCATTTTTTACTAACTCCAATGCTACCTTGATCTTGGAAAACTGCCACTAAAAGGCTTTGTGATACAGAGCCAGTGCTTGAACCTGGCTTGTGGCAGCTGCACATTGTAGAGAGGCCTATCTAAAAACATTCCATCATGAAAAATAGATACATTAAAAACAGCCCCCCCCCAATGCCTCAACACTGAAAATTGCGTTAGAAAGAACCATAAGATCCCGAACTAAAAATACAAGAAGCCATAACTTACAGTGCAATCCTAACCATGTCTACTCAGAAGTCCTGGAAAATGCAATGGGACTTACTCCCAGGTAAGTGGAGTTAGATTGCAGCCACAAACAGTAATAGAATCAAAGGCTTGTAAACAAAGAAAGGTGGAATATGTGCTGGTGGAATATGTGTTAACCTCTAGGGCAGGAAGTTCCATCTAGAAGGTGGTGCATGCCACAGAGAAGGCTGCCTCTCACACCGCACCTCAGAAGACAGTGATATGCATAAGAAGGGTGCATCAGCTCTTCTTAAAGGACAGGCAAATTTGCCCTCTCACTTTTTCACTGGTTGGTTTGTTTTGCCTTGTCTCTTTGCAGATTCTTCCCCCCACCCAAAAAAAAAAAAATTATTGGTTTTCACAATATTATAAACAAACAATCACACACACACACACACACACACACACACACACACAACAAACAAACATAACAAACATAAATCATAGCCTTATTGAAAATTACAGTTATTAACTTTGTTAAGTGACTTCCTCGCTTCCCCTTGGTTGAATTTCATTCCATGTCCTTTTAACGGTTTTCCAAATCCCAATTTTTATGAAATTTAACTTAAACATTAACATCCTTAAATCTTCACCTTATATAATTAAACATATTAATTCATCACTTAACATAAATAAAATTCTAAGCTATTAAGTATCTGCAAGCTATTTCCAGTTAATTTAACTTAACAAATTTAACTAAATAATCATTAAATTTATTCCATTCTTCCTGATATTCCTCCTCCTTCTGGTTGCGGACTTTTCCGGTTAGGTCGGTTAGCTCCGAAAAGTCCATCATCTTCACCTGCCATTCTTCTACTGTTGGTAATTCTTGGGTTTTCCACTTTTTAGCTAACAAAATATGAGCAGCAGTTGTGGCATACAAAAATAATTTAACATCTTTCTTGGGCAATTCCAAACCTGTTATTCCAAGAAGAAAGGCCTCTGGTTTGTTTATAAATGTATATTTCAACATTTTTTTCAGTTCATTATAAATCTTTTCCCAGAAGTCTTTCACCTTGGGACAGGTCCACCACATATGATAAAAGGTTGTCTCTTTGCAGATTCAATGCACATAGAGGACATGGATGCAGTGCAGAAACTCCAAGACCTTCTCCACGAAGCTCTCCAGGATTACGAGCTGAGCCAGCGTCATGAGGAACCACGGCGTGCGGGGAAGCTGCTGCTCACCCTTCCCCTCCTGCGGCAAACAGCTGCCAAGGCCGTGCAGCACTTCTATAGCATCAAACTGCAGGGCAAGGTCCCCATGCACAAACTCTTCCTAGAAATGCTGGAAGCCAAGGTCTGACAGGGCCCAGGAAGCAAACTGGAAGCCAAGGTTGCGGCCATGGAGCTAACCAAACAGAGGTGGCAGCTGGCTTTTATCTCCAATCATTTATTATGGAAGAATTATTTAACATCCATCTGGCAGTCACGCCAGTCTGTACATCCATCTGAAGATTATTGTGTACAGAGAAGGGAACTCTTTTAATCAACATCACTCTTCCCCCCCTCCTTTCTTTCTTTCTGGAAAATTAAAGAACAAGCTCTTGCACTTGCAAAGGGAGCCAAAGGGAGTCTGGAGCCCCTAAGAGTGATGCTGTTTGCACTATCCAGGGCAGCCCATTCCCATCTTCTTTGACCTAAGAGAAGGGGTGTGGGGACTGAAGCAGAAAATGGTGAAAAATAAGAGTTTGTAACATTCATAGCATAGTGGCGTGAGAGGAGATTAAAAAATATATCTGGGTGTCAGTGGGTCCGCAGCTTGACCCCTTTCCTCAATGCTGTGGTCCATGTGATGGTGGTCTGTTTGGGGAGGAGCATCATGGGATCTCTTAAGTCGAGAATGGCTGCCTCCTGTGCTCAAGCTACACAGAAAACATGTACATAGAGGCCCTCCTTATTGGGAAGGTCAGGCCTGACCGTGTAAGATATCCTGTGATATTGTACAGCATATTTGCACCTGGCTTTCCCCTATCCATGCGCAATCATAACATTCCTGGTGGTGGTTACTAGAGAAGCTGGAGACATGTCCTTGAGAGAGAAGATCTCGTTGTGTGATAATATGAAGAGGGAAGTAGCTGGATACTTTTTGTTGTTGTTCCAAGGCTGTAGTCACTCAGTCATCCCTTCATCCTCCTAGACGTGGTGCTATTTAAAAAGAAAAAGAAAACCCTCTACCTCCATTCCTCCTTTCTCCACATGGCCCAAGGTCACTGGAATCACAGGGAGTGGGCCAAAATAAAAGTTATACCAAACCAGGGCATTTCCCAGTCTTTCCTCACCAATAGATTTCAAGCTCCAAATCCAAATATTGGATATATTCCCTGAGAGGTAGGGGAGAAGAAGAATTAGAAGAACTCACCTGCTGGGCTTGCGCCATGTTAAGAGAACTAAAACAACCCAGGGGAGATACTTAATTTTTGCCTCCACATTCCTTTCCCACTGTGGCAACTCTCTCATTGAGACCAGTTGCTTGAATCCAGCTTGAATGTAGCTGAAGGAAGGCAAGGGTAGCAAGGCTTATATTGAGCCAAAACCTGTTTTGAATGGCAGGCTCGAAGTGATAAGTAAGAGAGTGCCTTTGCTTCTCCCTCCCCACTGAGGGATTGGGGAGGTAAGGTTTCTAGGTTATATTTATAAAAATAATGGCTTCCAAGTTAGCGTGGCCCCTGCCAACCCTCTTTTCAGAGATTAATTACTTTTCTTCTCATCAGTCCCACAGAGCCACAAGTCCAGATGGCTTTGACTGGTTTGTGGCTTTTCAGGAGGGTGATGTGTGTCTGTTTTCATGGTTATTTTGGGATCCAGCAGTGAGTTCAAGAGTTAAACTCACTGTTGCAGAAGCAGCATTGAAGCCAAGATGACCATACAAGTGAATTTTACTTCCAAAGGGAGTGGTCAAAACAACATGTGAAAATAGGTCTAACCAAAGCAATAAAAGATATGGATGGCAAATATATATATATATCATTTGCCAAGTGAGGGCTGGGCAGTGTCCTGTCTGCTTCCTGAGGTAAATCAGAACAGAGGCCTCAACTTCTTTACTTTGGACTAATTCACTTTGCTGCTTCATCCAGATGCTAATCCAAAGGTCCTCTTTTTTGAAGAGGGAAAAAGGGGGTAGGGAGGGAGCCAGCAGATTGCTAAACTGGTCTTCCATGACTATGAAGGATGCGACAGAAATAAACACAGTAATCATGAAGCTCCCTTCGGATGCCTGTGGTTGGCAACTGATTTGGGGGCTGGACCATACTTACAATCTCCTGACAGTTTTGTTTTTGGATGACAAACAGCTCTGGTTTTCTGCTCAAAATGGCTCCCTACTTCTTTTCCACTCACGGGGGAAAGTATTTTGATGGATGCACCTTTTTCAGAGTAGCCTTCCTCTCGCCCCAGCTTTCTTATCCTACTAACAGTCATTGTCATTCTTCTCCAAAATAGCCATCACATGTAAGGGACAACCGTAGCTCACTGGCAGAGCGCCTGCTTGGCATGCAGAAGGTCCTGAGTTCCTTTATTGGCATCTCTGTTGAAAAGGATCAGATCACAGGTGATGGGGAAGGCCCCCAGCTTAGACCCTCGAGACCCACTGCACGTCAAAGTAGATAATATTGGGCTATGGGCAAATAGACCTGAATTTGCACAAGACTTCCTATTTTCCTGTGTGTCTCCTTTGCAAAGCATGGTTGTAGGATTTCTCTGCTAAAGGCCAGAAAAAGAGTTCCTGGCACTACAGGCCTCAATCATGGGTCCTTATTGGGAGGAGCATTTTCATGCTTGTTTAAAGCAGCCTTCCTTCATTGCCACTTTGGGGCAGTAAACAAGTGAAGATTCAGTAAATGCAATAAATGCGGGAACAAATGCTCCTTGTTCCCATGTTTGTAAAACTACCAGTTTGTTCATTTGCAAATAGCCTAAGGTCATCTTATGTTGCTGGAGCATAAAATCACTGCCTTGCTGGGTTACACCCAGGGTCCATTTAGTGCAGTCTTTTGTCTCCAATTGTGGCCATTCTGGTAAGCTCTCAAGTAGGGCATTGCCCACACCTCTGCATAATCAAGGATATATTGTACCAGTGTTTATTTTTTTCTGAAGTCAGAGGCAATGTGGAGCCTGCTTGTCCATGACTCACTGCGCCCTTTTTGGTTCAATCAGAGATATAGCTGCATCACTCTCAACCAACATTCCCCAATCTGATGCCATCCAGATGATTTTGGGGTTTCCAACTCCCATCAGCCCCAGCTAGAATGGCCAGTTTTCAGGGAGGATGGGAACTGTAATCCAAAACATCTGAATGGCACCAGGTTGGAGAAGACTGGTAAAAACTAAGTGAATAGGTACAGGATTTCTGGTTGCACAATGGGACTTCTCCACTCTCTTCTGACCACCGATCCCCTAAATCTCTTCCAGGGGTTCTCCCAACCCTCCAAAGCAGATTTGGGGAGGTTGCATGGTGCAAAGAGGGGGGAAAAGTCCCACTGTGCAAGTGGAAATCCACGTGGAGGTGGATTATGTGGATACTGTCCATAATCGTAGAGGGGGCTGAGACAACATATTCCAAATTAATTTAATAGAACATACATCTGAGGAAGACAGTAGCAATCAACCAGAGCAGCAACTTGGTAATGCTTTAGATCTTATAGGGAGAGTGGATACCACAGACCAGCTTCAGATTTAGCAATATGGGGACAGCTCTGGTTCCATGCCTTTGGAACTAGCAGAAAGCATGCACTAAGCAATTATCCGGTCCTGCACATAGGAGTCAAATATTTTGTAAGGTACGAACTACTGGTACAAGAATGATTCTGACAACTGCAAGCCTTCAGACAATAGTAGCTTCCATGGAGTAGGTAATGAAGTCCCCAAGTGCTAACCCCGGGATTAGTTTAGGGCAAGGCATGCAGGTAAGTGCCTTCACTAGAATAGAAGCATGACATCTGTCAACCTCCCCCTTTCCAGGAAGCTGTGTCCACCCTACTTCTGTGCCTACCTGTAACCTGCCATGTACTCTCTCCTTCCCAAAACTTTATATAGGTCACTGTCTTCTGCTCTGAAATACAACCCTCCCTATGAGCCATGGAGGCAACAAATGCTGCTTGCATTCACATTCCTTTCTGGGGTCTCTGGCCTTTAGTGCAACCAGCAAGCAAACACCCAAGTTGGCGGGAATCGCTTCTGATCAATGGTGCGATACCCACCACCCCTTGCACCAGAGGAAAAGGCGGGCATTATTTTGAAAATATGAAGAAACTGCAAAACCACAACCCAACAGTATTGTTCATGCCAAATAAGGGGGCGTTATTTTCTTCTCTCTTCATAACCAGACTGACTCATGTGTTCAGAAATGTCGAACACATATTTTGAAACCATGCTAAAGCAGCTGTCAAAAAAGGGAGGAAAGAAACCCTAAGAATGTATGTGGCTGAGGTTTTTTGGCCAGTCATGTGGTCCAAAGCCAGTCCTGCTCTGGTGACTTGATGGTTAAGAGAAGCCAAAAACAAGCAAAGGGGAAAAGATGGGAAAGCCTGTGCAAGACTATGCAGGGTGTCATAGTCCAAGAGTGAAATAAAACAGTAACTACTCAACTATTATCTGCTCCTGAAAGAAAGAAAAAACTGTCAAATAACTACAGTAATTAAATAAATCGTATTCTTGTGGTACAGGTCATTTCAAACAAACTGAGAAATAAAACAAATGTACAAACAAATCCTGTTGAGGTTGCATTTATTGAGTATTCCGAATCATCACTTCACCTTATCACACTGAGAAATTTGCTTTACACTATGGTACATCCAGGTACAGTCGTACCTCAGGCTACAGACGCTTCAGGTTACAGACTCTGCTAACCCAGAAATAGTAGCTCGGGTTAAGAACTTTACTTCAGGATGGGAACAGAAACCATGTGGCAGTGGCGCGGCAGCTGCAGGAGGCCCCATTAGTTAAAGTGGTACCTCAGGTTAAGAACAGTTTCAGCTTAAGAACAGACCTCCAGAACGAATTAAGTTCTTAACCCGAGGTACCACTGTATTCATATTGTGGGTTAAAATAAACACATCGGAAAGGGAGCAAGAATTTGTGCACTACCTTTCTTCCCCCATCCTTGTCGCTCTTTAGAATTTGGGGGCAAACCTCTGAAGTGAGGAGCCTCCCCTTCCATTTTAACTTTGTCTAGTCCACAGATGCTTCCACACTAACCCTTTTCTATGGAATTGCTCTCCTTTGTTCACCCACTTTTTATAGAACATCCATATTTTTTTCCCCAATCACTTGCTTTCTGTGCTGCCCTCCCAATATGTTTTTCCAGACCTGATTTGTGATTGTTTTAAAATATTAAAATATAATTGGAGATTGAGGCTGTTCAATGTGTACCAACAAAGCAGTACTGTACCAATGTTTTTCAAGGCTCCTGTGCCTGTAAACAAATCACTTCCTCTTCGTATGGTCAGCTGATTTTATTGCTTCCTGTTGACCCTAGCTGGGTGACTTGTAATTTCCCCTTGAATAGCCTCTCTACAAATTGCTCCACGTCAGAACCCCCTCCCCCACGGGGTTATGTGCTTAATTACTGGTTTCCTATTTCCCCCGTTACTTTTTTTAAATGGAAAAAAAGAAAAATTAAGTTAAGAAAAAAGATATGAGGAAATCAGTAACCAAAAGCAAAGGCCACTCCCTTATGGGAGAATAAATTAAGATGGAGCAATTCATAGAGCACCTATTGAAGGAGACATTACTTAGTAATCGTCCCACTGGGAGCAATAAGAAAACAATAAAACCAGCTAGACCTGCAAGCAACAAACCTGAAGTAGCCAGGTAAGTGGCTGAGAGCAGCTTATTTGTGAGAAGATATTATAGAACCATCTTCGGCCATATGAAAGGGCACAGCCAAAGCTGTATGGAACCCTAATTTTAATTCTGCTTCCTGCTACTTGCAAAAAAAAAGGCAATGTCTTAACAGCACTGAAGAGGTCTTGTGTAGAAGCACCCCAAACATGAATTTTGTTAGCACAGCAGTGCATAATCATCTCCTGGAAATGATGCTTAGGTTTTATCCCAAACACCCAAGCTCTTCTTTCGGAGGAAAAATGAAAAGGAACACACTCTTGAAGGTTTTCAAAGGGGATGACAGAACCGCTCAGAGAAAAGGAGCAGTTGTCTTCAATGATGGAATCCAAACATATGGCATGTCAGTGGAAGATCCCAAGAAAATGAGCAATGGATCAGATCCATGAATCCATGAAGCTAAACAAGGAGAAATACGGTTTTTGGCCAAAGCAAAAGGTGCCTTGGGTCCAATAATTACACAATATGAGGCAAAGCTAGTTATGCTACTGTTAGTAAGCCAGAAGCGCTGACTAACAGACACTTTGTAAGGTCTCACCCTGCATTTAAAGCACTATGATGCTGCTTTAAACAGTCATGGCTTCCCCCAAAGAATTCTGGGCGCTAGAATTATAGAATGTCATGGACTGGCTGGATGCAGAGGAGTGGTGGGAGATACCAGCTGGGGAACCCCCAAGGGAAGAAGGCACAGAGTCAGGGGATTGGTGGTGGGATGATGATGAGTGGTCAGAGGGAGAAGAGAGCAGACTGGGGGAGGAAGAAGCTGGGGCTAAGAGCAGCCCAGAGGCAGAAGCAGAGGTTGAACAGGCTGGGGGGCCAGAAGCAGTGATGAGGGATGTTGCTGAAGAAATCTCTCCCTCCTGCTGCAACCAGCTCCCTTCCCACCCTGGGCTCCCAGAACCAGAAGAGGTATGAAGAGGACAGAGCAAATATAGAAATGGTGACATAGTCTCAGATTGCTTGGGAAGGACCCGGGGAGGAGGGGAAAGATCTACCGGGATGCGTTCCTGTGCTCACTAGGCCTGGCCCCCAAGTTGAATTTGTTTCCTTGAATAAGGAGTTAACTTTACTCATGTCTTGTGATTTATTACTGACTTGCGCCTGACTCCCGCTCCTGACACAGAATCATAGAATTGTAGAGTTAGATGGGACACAGGGATCTTTTGTCCAATGTGGGGCTCAAACCCTCAACCCTGAGATTTAGAATCTCATGTTCTGAGCTATGTTGTTTGTCCCCAGAGTTCCCTGGGAAGTGAGATTAATTGTTAAACCACTCTTGGAATTGTAGCTCTGGGAGGGGAGTGGGGATTTTCTAACAGCTCTCAGCACCCTTAGCAAACCACAGCTCCCATAATTCTTTAGGAGAAGCCACGATCGTTCAAAGTGGTGTCCTAGAGCTTTAAACACGTGGTGTGAATGTGGCCTGGGTCAAAATTTACAATTAATCTCAACAGAGACAGAATCATTAAATTCAGTAGCAGCTTGTGCGGTAGAACAGAGCCACTCCTTGATACCTGGGCCATGGTTGCTTACCTACACAGGGCAGAATGGGAGCAATGCCTGAGCCACACGGTTGCACCTGTGAGGCTGTTGCTGCCAACCTGACACTCTTGCGGGTGCATTCACATGCTTTTGACTTTGCCACTGCTCTGCTCTGCCCCAGACCCATCCAATTAAGCAGCAGCAAGGAGCAGGGCTCTGCAGGTCCGCTCCACCTTATGTCCAGCAACAGAAATCCAGCATGGCCAATGGCTGGGAATGAGGGTGTGTGTGTGTAACTCAACAGCATCTGTAGGGCTGCAGGTTCCCCATCTCTGCTCCAAAGCATCTAGATCCCAGATACCCTTTTTGGTGGTAGAACAAACCTTGCATAGCTCTTCCCCAGAAAGGTACACTTCAGTCCTTGTGACTTTTTTGGCAACTGGTCAAGACTACAAAGTTCTGGCAGGCTCATGGCTTGGCATGACATCTGATTTGAAGGCAGCTTCAGGGGGTTAAATGTTTTCGGTACTTGCAGTGTATATATTTGATTTAAATTGTATTTGATTTAAATATCATTAGCCACGTTGCATTTTTTTTTTTTTTTGTAAAACTTGAAATGTATTGAATGCTTTAATCAATAGCTAAACCTTGGGGGGAAATCCATCGCTTTCTAGTTGTAGAAACCACATCAGGAGTCCACCTTATACAATGATAAAAGGACATTATATTCAGCACTCCCCATCTTACAACTCTACGGTGTCAATATGTCCACAACAGTCAGGGCTGATGCAAGCCTTTACAGCTGCTAGCCATAGTGCAACTAAACCTGCATGAACCACAATGGATGCCAGTTGAAACATGCTCCAGAACTCCTGCTGAACAGAAAAAAATGTCCACAAATAAAAAAAAGAGAGAGTGCCTCTCTTGTGTTTTGGCTAGCACAAAAACCTATGTGGTTTACCTTCTCTCTGATTACTCACAGACCATAAACCAGGGGGAACTGGATCCAGTTGATGTCTGTGGTCCAGGAGAGGAGTGGACAGATCTGGATAACGGAGGTGCAAGCCCAGAAGATGTGAGGAGGAAGGAACTGGAGGAGGGAGATGTGGGCAGGTGGACAACCCAGGTGAAGTGAGGAAGAGGGATCCAGAGGACACAGATGCAGGCAGCTGATCAGGCAGGTGGCCCAAGATGAGCTGCAGAGGTGTGGTGAGGTCTGATTTCTTTTTATGTGAAGTGTAAATAAAGGGGCAAGGAGTTAGAACTGTAGAATTGGAAGGGATCCTGAGGATCATCTAGTCCAACCCCCTGCAATGCAGGAATAGGCAGCTGGCCCATATGGGGATCAAACCTGCAACCTTGGCATTCTCAGCACCATGATCTAACCAACTGGGCTATGGAGGTTGGTGAAGTTGACAAGTGAAGCAAGTAGGGGCACAGGCACCAGCTAATGAAAAAGTTATATTAAGCTAAAAACAGAAACCAGCTAATGAAAAAGTTATATTAAGTCACGCCTACATGTAAGCTTCGTATTACACCGCACTTACAATTAAAAGCACAATCAGAGAACTATGGGGGAAATATGGGGCAGGGGCACACGACAAATCTGCTTCTTCCTTACAAGGTCCCTGTGCACCTTCAAAATCAGCTGTGGAGGGTTAGGTCCACACAGATAATATCTTATAGTAGAATTTCCACTCAAATCAGCAGGAAGAATCCACTATATTTCCCCAAAATCTGAACTATCCAATTAGTTTTAGTTCTAACCACCCCCTGCAACAGAAATCATACCATCAACTTTAAGCTTCACAAGACTCTCCCATGGTGTCAGGTAGAAATGTTTTGTGTATATGATACACAAAACCCCCAAGGGCAATATTTAGTTATGTTATGCTGTCGTGCTCTGCACATATTGTATATGCACAGCTAATAGTTGCAAAGGATTTATTAATGAGTTTCCTTCAGAAGCAATGTAAGAGTAGGCAAAATTAACCAGTACCCATTTTTCTCTGTTTTTGCCCTTTACAGGACAATCCTATACATGTCTACTCTGAAGTAAATCCTATTGATTTCAGTGAGGCTAGTGGGTTTATAGTTGCAGCCTTACTAAGACTGATGAACGGGTTCTCATCTTATTCTGTGAACCGCCCTGAGACCTCCAGGTATAGGGCTGTATATAAAATAAATAAATACCTCTTTAACATTAGCAAAAATAAAGGGGAACAAATTAAAATATTCTAGAGGCACCACTTTTCGGAACATAAACCTAGTGTATCTAGAAGCAAAATACCTTTCTGTTGTTGTTGTTTTTTTTAGTTTGTATTCTTCAGATGAGAAAAGTTCCCCCAGCCCAAAAATTTTCTGTGCCAAAAA